TAGTCTAATTCAAGGCAACAATATCGGTTTTAATCACTCGTGCTGTTCAAGTAAGTTTCCTACTGATTGTTATGTGTTATTTCTTGGCACATGTTTAGCTACATCTACTTCCAAGAATAGACGACAGTGTGAAAACTGTCTCCATAAATTTTGCATGTGTTTCGGTAGAAAGCAGTGTTTGCATAATTTAACCCCATAAAATAATCCCAGGTTTATAACATACTAAGGCTTATTATTTAGTGACTACACAGACTACAATGCAAACTAGCAGAGCTATTCTTAGGTTATAAAAGTGTGTATTAAAACTTTTGGCTTGCTGCTGGGCCCTGGCCATTTAAGGGGTTAAAAATAAAAATATAGTCACTCAGTCACTCTTAACAAGAGTTAACAAGAATGTTAATGAAAAGGAGGCTGTTTCTGCTGCCCTCCTGCGTTGCACATCAAGTTAAAAGAGCGTAGCAACCTAGCCAGTGTTGCCCCAGAACAGCATGTTATGCTAATTTCTCTGAACATAATTATATAAGTATAAATACAAAAATGTAAAAAGAAAAACAGAAAAAATGAATGAATGAATATAATTTATGAAGTAGGGTACTACACAAACCTAAAAAAAGCTAAAAAAAAACAAAAAAACATTGCTTTTAGTTTTTTCAATTAATCATTAAAGCGAAACATGTAAAGAGCTTTTTTATCATTATAAAATATTTGAATATTCCAGATAATATTTGGTAGAACATTGAAAAATAAATCTATTTAATAGTTGCAGCCCTGATGTAATACAGTCGTACAATGTCAAAAACCACGTACACAGATCTGAGATTATGGTTTAGAAATGCAGTGAACATGATTCTAACTGATGGCTATAAACAACTATTACTTGGTAGCTACAATAGACTTGTAACTTCATTACAAAACTGAGGAAGCAAACTTTGGGGTGATGGGGGAAACTGTAAATTAAATTTTTCACAGGCAGGTACTGGGGGAATTGATATTTCCTGCTGTTCCTGAGGAGGAGAGGTCTATCTGACGGGATTAAATGAAAAGCGTGCGTTTGCTGTCCCGTGGGGGAGATGCATTATGCATACCCTGGTGCAGAGTTACAGCCAGAACGACACTGAACCTGCAGAGGCAGGCTAAAGAGAAGGGAAGGAAGCTCACACTTGACTGCAACCTCATCCATCAGCGCACTTCAGCTATATATCTCGTCAGGGCTTACGCAGCTTAAGGCTTAGTTAAATACAGCGCTGCAGTTAATTCATATCTTGTAGGCCTGCATAGTAGCGAGCAAAGGCGTCTTCATTCATAGTGTACACTATGTGATTTGAGGTGTTATATGGCCCCATCTACTGTTGGAGAAGTGTCACTACACTTCCAGTGAATTCACTGCTGTACTGACAGTGGCAACTGCATTCTACAGGAATACTGGAAATGATTAAAGTCATAGTTCTACACAGATGTTCTCTTATTCCAAATGTAATCAATCAGCAAAAACAGGTTTTGTGTTAAAAGTTTTTGGTTCTGCAGTGGAGATACAACACTAATGTAGCTATCAAGTAGTGAAAGTTTATGTACTGCAGTGTGATGCTGGAGGCATTTTAAAAATCGCATGTCGAAATCATCATAGATTTGCTTCAAGCTATGTTGCTGTTAAGTGACCTTAAACAGACATTTTTATGTGGTTTATGACAGCATATGACAGTTAAGGCCCAACCAATAAGAACATTTGTGGGCAATATGATACCAATCTTACAGGAAGTAACAGTGCTTTACCAACAGACACATCTGTCAGTTCTCAATTGTCACACTTCTTAACATAGAAGTGAACTCACAGTCTTAACATATACAGTCCTGTGCAAAGGTTTTAGGTACCTAAAAATTACAATAAAAAAGCTATTTATCTGGGCAGAAGGTGTCTATTTGCTCTAATATTGATTAAATGCAAATGGCTAATGCAATAAGTAGTGATTTTATGTGTGTCAGTATGTTTAACAATTTCCAAACTCTCCTATGTTTTTTAGACAACATCTTTTTGGGTTAATCAGTACTTCATTATGTTAAATCAAGTGTGCAAGTGATAGAATTTAGCTAATCTACGTGATGGCTGGGGGCATCACGTAGAAATCTGGAACCAAACTATGTTCTTTAAACTAGCTCACAAGATATTAACTGAAAACAATAACTTTTTACAGTATTTATGTTCATTTGCTTTTATTCTTATTTCATTTATACAGACGATTACAAGTAAAAAACACTTGCCAAGACAAATGGTTTTAAACAATGTGCTTAGGTGCCTAGGACTGAAAAGTTACCATTTTGGTGATATGAGGTTTTGTCCTGACAGTGCCAGATATATTGTACCGCTGAAGGTGGAGCTACACATAATCTAAAATCTAGTTTGTCTAGTCTCATGTTAAAGGTCAGGTTTAGATACATTTTACATGTTTTTGTTAAAATAACTATAATAGTGTTTTGTAGTCAAATCCCAGGTTCCCCAGATCACCCTATCATTTGGAGATTACGACTCTGAATACCAGCAATGTTGCCACCAAAAAACAGAGGTGCTTTGTCACCTTTACTAATAAAACCATAGGCTGATCATATCTCAATATTTAAATTTATATTAACAATATATCAATGATTACAGGATACCAATATGTCGGTTGCGTCCCAATACTGCTCTCTATAAAAATGGACAAAAGTATGTTGTATAGCTAAAAACAGTAGCAGCCATCTTGAAGCCTGAATTTTCTCTGTACTTTTGTGACTTTTACACAATGCGAGTGCCCATTACTTTTGGCCTGCATCAGCTCCATTACAAAACTAAAGAAATAAACTTCGGACACTGAGCTTTTTGTCCTGGTTGACTGACCACATTTGGACTCAGATTGCGTAGTTTCCAAACTATTGTTTTTAACTTCAATGTCTCCTAATCATGAATCTACAACAGGACCTAATATCCAGTAAGGATGTAGGCTCAGACTAATTTTGACATTCACAAGCTCGTGAATGGATATCCGAATAACCATGGAGAAATGAGCTGTGGCTTACTTTTTAGATAGCAGCACTAGTGTTGCACAAACGTGTAGCATCATGTAAAGGCATCAAAACATCTTTTATTGTAGATTTTCATGTTGGATAAGTAGCAAAATGGATGCTGTATCAGACTAGTTAATGACCTAAAACTACAACTAACTGATAACAGTGGATGCTGATGGAGACTCCTCATCTTTTACGTATTCTTCATCTTCTTCAGTGAATGATGTGCTAATATGTTAGTCTGAGAAATGTACTTTAACTGTTTCCAGACCTAGCTAACGGTCTAGACTATTTAGCGATAAAAGCCACGCTATCTATGCCTTCTCTGCCATGTTCTTAACAATGCATCCTTGACACTGCACTCCAGTAAAGGCACTTGCATTTCAGAGTACAGAATATAACATAACATAATATAGTTTCTCACAAATGCTAGCAAAACATTCATTTTTCTCTAAATGGGTCCTTTTCCCAAGGAACGGAAATATGTAAATGACGGATTAAATAAGTTCTGCTATAGCATTACGGACAATTAATACCCTCAGAACTACTGCTGTTTTTATCACTTCAGCTCACCACTGAAAGGTATCCACATGTGTCCAGAGTGGTTAGAGAACACCAAACACAAAACAAGGGAGTCTGGACCGAAAGAAAGGATATAAATTCTTTGTGGAAGAATTCCTTGACAACTATTGAAGTATGATAACGTCAGCTAACGCCTATATAAAACAATGGACATGTGAAAATAACTATAACCAAAAAGCTAGATTAGTTAAATTATCTGGAGATGTTAAAACAGCTTGCTAACAAGAAACCAGTTGGCAAGTAAACACGCACAAACACTGGCAGGGGGTGAGCCTCGTAATCAAGGTGAGTAGCACCGTTGTAGATGTTCCCGACAAACACTGGCTGCAGTGAACAAACATGTGCATAACACCGAGCACTTGCTCTCTCAAATGCCGAAAGCTTTTGAAAGGAGACATGAAATCTGTCCCACTGAAAGCGGCTGGGAACAGCAAGGACTTTAAAGCATGAACTGCCTTCAGTGTAATGTTAGTCAGCAGCGGTGAAATTCTGACACAAAGTTTATTTATTCATCCCTCCAAGTTGCACAAACCCATATTTTTCCTTGGCTCGTTGCCAGCTGAGAAGTCATCAGAACTGAGTTAAGGTTGTTTTTGCCTCTAGCTCAAACACTTGGGAAAGCTGCAAAAGCTTTGCTGTTATTATTGTTGTTTTAGCGGGAGTGGCTTAACCTGGCGATGAGTACTGCCAGCAGACAAAAACTTGAAAATGTAAAAAGGGCCTATTTTTGGTCTGCATATTTCCTCCATCTTCCCATGATGAAATGTAATGAGTTCAGTGTGAATACTGGTGTCTTCAACAATTAACCGAGTACTCGACTACTCGTGCACATCCATAGTATCCAATGTTAACCAATCAGGAACAGTCATGGTGGATTGGGAGTCAATGGGGGATTTGTGGATTTCTCTACCACTACAGCCGGGGGTGTCACATGCAATGCGAGGTCAATGCAAAGATGAATAGTGACGCATACACGCACACACGTGAACAAACACAGATCGAAAAACGCACAAACTTTCATGCTATGAGCGAGAATTCCAGGCTTGATCGCACGCTCACACAAACTGTCTCCTCCATGCGATTTCCCTCATGACCTGCCCCATTCCAGTCCAAAACACGAAGGTTTTAATGCCCAGAAGCTTCGAGTGTTACCACACTCCGCAATGGCAGGAACACTTTGAGACAGTTTCAGGCTAGCGTGAATGGGCCAGGCTGATTCAGTAGCCATTCTGTGCATTAAAAAGGTGAGAGGGGGGAGGAAGGGATTCTCGATGCATGTGAGAGACCATGATGCTCAATGTCTAAGAAGTGAAGCAAGCCGATGCAGATCAAGCAGAGCATTCCTTTGCTGCTGGGAGAGCGAGCCAGCGCCAGCGACTTACTTTCCACTAATAACAGGCTCAGAGCGCCGAGAGACCAGGCCCGGCCTCTGCAGGTGGTTATTCCTATCGATAAGGACACAATTCAGTCAGACACACACATACACACACACACATACAGGTGACAGACACTTTGTATAGCTTGAACATACTTTGCAGATCCGTTTGCTTGTGCATTGTCAATTTTGCTTTTCCTTTTTTAAGGACGAGGTCAACAAACCGCTACAGATTCATTGGCTTACTGTCAGCATGGGAGAGGCACAGCTGGACTGGTAAACGGAAACGACGAGCAAACACGAGAAGGGCCGACCTTGTTGCGGGAAAAAAATAAAGAAAAAACCCTCGCTGTTAACATATAGGATACCTACCCTATACAAGCCGTCTTAAATTTCATTCAAAATAGCACACATCAGCTCAAAATACTCACATTTTATTTGGTAACTTGAGAGAGATGCACTCCTCCAAATCAATGGAGGACAGTTATTGTGTTGCAATAATGAGAATTCAGTCACGTAAATTGGAAAATAGTATTAAAAAACAGTAATACATCTATTGTACATATTTTTAGTTTCTTGTCAGAAGGTGGATCATGTACATGCCCCCACATGTGACAAGAGCGACCTTAAACGCAACCAACAGACAAAGTATCATTAGTGACTTCTTGTCTGCTAAGGTGAATATTTGCTAAGGGTGTTTTTGCAAGAAAAATGAAAACATGTCAATGAAGTGGTTGTCCTTAAGACCCCTTCAGTAGTAGAGAACACAGCGGGTCATTTGTCTGTGACGTCTCTGACAGTATATAGACAGAGAGAAAAGCCCCTAAGGATGTGCTATAAAAAAAAAAAACGAGTGAAAGGCCCACCTTCTCGTGTGTGTCGTCGTGTGCGGGTGTGTGTGAGAGTGTGAGTGTGTTTGTGAGCACAACACAGAAGGACGTAAACACAGAGAGAGTCATGTGACAGTTCATGTATGGTTCTTTGGGCTAGGGGGCAGACACCAGCTTACTCATGTCCTTACAAGAGAACACACACACACACACACACAGTGCAGAATGGCATGAATCATTCTAATGGAACAGTCCCTCCAAGCTATAGCTGTATGTCAGCGCTACACAGCTACAGCGTGCCTCTATAAAGCCCCATTCATTTCAGCCTCTACATTATAATTACTCTGCGCTGCAGTCCACTAAAATTTATGCACTGAATCTGCATGGTTTAAATGTGTATCATAAGATATATTACATCAACACAACTGTCTCCAAAAGTAAGTAAACTGCAACACAAATCTGTGTCAGTGTAATAGATGTACACATCTAAATCAAGTAAATTCAACCCATCACTCTTCTTCATTGTATCAGCAGGGCTCGATTTGGTTGATTTTCTTTTTTCCACTGCTTTATTAAAATCGAAAAACCAGATGAGCAATCTTTGCTCAGAGGTCAAAGGCGAGAATAAAAGTCAAGTTTTCTTTCCATGGGAAACTATTTGAAACATTAAAGCAAGTAGGATTTTTAAAGTAATGGCCTCAGATAACTTTTATGAGACTTTTCTCAAGGGTGACTTTATTTTGCAGTCTGCAGTACTTAAAATGAAATCTGTTTTTGGTAAGCGAGAATGCTCAAAAGTAGCCTTAGGACACCTCTTTCATTTTTTTAAATAATTTAATTGGTTAATGTATTATGAAACTTTGCCATATTAATTTCAGCTATAACTTATCAATCAATAATTTGGGTCCAAATGAGCAATGGAAAACTAGAAAACTTACCCCTAACTGCCTACTTTACTTCAAAAACAATGTTAGGACACTAATCTAAATGCACACACATCATGAGAAACCAGAGATGAACCATCCAAAAACACACATTCTGAAAGACATGTTCTTTAGAAAACTTAAATATTGAGTTCTGTCAAAAATGTTGTCTCTTGGTAACTTAATATCTGTGAAAAAGGATGGAGATTTCATGATTAATCATGAAAAACAGGAATGCACTGATACAATTTTTCCTTTCAGTACTGATACTTGATCTTTAAATATTGGCCTATAGCTTATAATTCCTGATATTTACAAAATGCCACTTTTTAAATATTTTATTCAAGTAAAGTATTACCCAAAATACTAACCTGAACAATACACTAAATACTAAACTGCACGGAGGAAAGAGACACTAATGTTTGAGTACTTTCACTTGCCTTATTTAAGGTTTAAACTCAAAACTCAGTTTGATGTTAAACTACTGGGATAGTTTTGAGCTTCTGTTAGTAAACCTGGTAGTTATTTCTGGTTGTTATAACTTTTCTGGTGGATATGAACAAATACATGATAAACAGAATTCAGAGAGCATCCCAAGACTACTTTTAATGATTGTAATCTCACTTAATTCCAGTTTCTGTTTCTACTTAAATTCCTACAGTGGTGATTGTTATCTGTACATGGATTATGAAATAGGCATGAATGATTTATGGGCGCAAAGACTACAAACTAAGAGTGCATATTAGTCCACAGGAAGAAGTATTTAAGCATACAGGAAATACCTAGTTGTTGTGCTAAATGAGATGAGGGAGAGGATAAACAGTCCCTTTAGGAGACACGGTCTAACAGGAGTCTGCAGCAGAGGCTCATGGGAAACTGAGTTTGCCTCTCTTTCGCCGCATGGTACTCACATGTCGCTGGCGATGGAGGAGTTGCGGGACATGGATTTGGGCGACAGATCATAGTCACTGTCGGAGCGGTAGAGGAAGGATTCCCTCCTCTGGCTGTGGACGAAGTTGGCCTGGAGGATGAGGCCTGAGCCCGGGCTCGTCATGGGGTCCAGGGGGCTCCTTCCTGACGACGTGCCATTGTCCACGTCGAAGCTGCATAGAGAAAAACAGAGAGAAAGATATGGCCAATTAGAGACTGATGCAATCGGTTGAGTAGACAGGAGGAGAAACACCCGAGGCTTTGAAAATAGGGCTTGACCGACACAATGGTTGGCCAGTGAATCAGACGATAGTTCCATGGATTTATTACTATCAGTTGAAATTCCACCCCAGGTGATGTTATGACTTCTTAAGAATTTATCAGAATTGAAATGGTTGCAAGTTTTAATTCACCACCATTCAAAAGTTTTGAAATACTGTTCAAAGGTTTGTAATAGAAAAAAGACAATTAAATTGTTAATTGCAATTACTTACATGGCAATTAATCATCAGCTAAAATTTCATGACTGTGACAGACCTATTTGAAATACTGAATAAAAATGCATTTGGGTAAACAGTATATAATATTTAAATCCACACTGTATAAGCTAATATTTTATATAAAACAATACAAAATGTTAATACGACAAGATGGCGAATAATGTATCATTCAGTAGTCATTAGCTGCTCACTTTTATTCGAACGATAAGCCAATGAAGCCAATGGATAGCTTTTCGTAAAGGGTCAAAATCTCCAAAATGAAACACTTTAATATTATAATAAATGTACTAAACTGAACTGATCTGAGGTCAGCACTGTAAACCAGAATAAGCAAGGCCAGGTTAATAATACAGGAGATTGCCTTGGTTAAATCTTAGCCTAAAGCTACTAATGCCCATAGCACTGTCAAAATAAGATGACCAGAAAACTGGGCTTCTCTTCTTGATGACTTCAAATCCTCAAGAGACCTAAAGCATGACCACATTTTATCCATTATACTCCAATCCCTTATGACACTACCTGGAAGCTAAATCTATGGAAATCTACTGCATGGACAAAGCCTTTGTGATATCACTGGTCAGAGATCTAACTCAAGGAAGAATTTCCCCCATCGCTTTGTGGCAAAACTAAAAATGGACAAATCCCCAGTGCAACAATTAGAGATCGCTGTTTGGTTTGAGAACAAGAGGCTGAAGAATTTTCAAACAGAAAAGCAGAACTATGAGAATTACAACACTATCTTTAGTATGAGATAAGACCTGAAAAACTCTGGGAAAAAAAAAACTACAGTCCTCTTGTCCACTCTTTATTTTTGTGCACTCTACTGCCACTTTAACTTTGCATCCTTCAAGCGTTAAAAAAACAAAGAGTTGCAGCTGAAACACAAAAGCTGTTCACAAAGATCTCACTGACACTATGATCCCCAAAATACATTGTGTGAATGATACATTCACACAAGCAACTACCAAAATACATCTTAGCTACCCCCAATCTTCTTTCACATGTGCATCTAAAATGGCTAACTGAGATATTTTGGAGGAGGTTAGAAATAAAATTATCCACTTGCATAGGGAAAACATTAAAAGAAAGGAATTTCCAAAACTAAGTTCAAAAAATGAGATAATGGGACACCTAACAACCATGCAAAACCTGGTAAACCACCAAACTGTCACTATCAGATTAACAGCACCTAAAACTTGCATCTTTGAAAGAAAATCAAACTTTCAAACTCTGAAAAAGAAAATAGACAAGGGTATTTTGACCCACCCAGACACACACACACACACATACACACACACACACACACACACACACACATATATAACCCAAAGCAATTTACTGACTCTTTTACTTGATAAAAAAAATAACTTTTTTTGTAACAAAGCATTGTTCTTTATGGGGGCCCCACAACATGAAATGGTGTATTAACCTGCTGACAGTTGGTCTCTGCAAAGACCTTAACACACACACACACACACACCACACACACACACACACACGTAAACCATCCTAACCTTCTGACTTAGGATATTTTCCAGAAGAACATGTGAGCCAAGAAAGATGTACAAGGTGCTCTCGAGTGTTCAGACGCTGACAAGTTGCAATCTCTCATCACAGAAAACACATCTGCTCACAGATTCCTCACCTAAAAAGGCTAACAGCAGTCCGCTTAGTGACAGACCGAGGTATACCTTGACGCAAATTTTATAATCCAGAGAGGCATTTTTCTCTTACTGCTATTTAAGGTATGGACTGCAGCCAAGTTTAGTGAAGCCTTGAAGTTAAAAACTCCCTGCATTCAAAATGTGCTTTTTAAATGGTGAACTCCTCTTAGACAACAATTCTAACTGCATAGTCTGGTCTGTGTCAAATGTGTCACTACAGACTTCCTGAGCACTTCTGTTAAAAACTATAAGTGGAGCGCTACTTACAGCTACATAGCATTCCTGTGCTCCATCTCATCTGCTTGATCTTTTCAAACATACAAGTTTTTGGGCTTGGGAATGGACCTTTGGCTTATGAATTGTTCCACCATATTGATAGGGTTCGTTCTTTGTTTACATGCCGCAAATACTCACATACATTGTGAGAGTTTAAAGAGACTGCCGTATTATTACATTTTTCCAGGCCTGGCATGCTTAAAATTGAATCAAATGAAAAGGTAGGGTTTCTTAACCAATTCCAAAACAATGCCATTGCAAACTCCCAAACAACGAGAGGAGTAATAATGTTAATGCTAATGTTACCTTCTTTTCCATTCACACCTAGCTGGAGTGAGGCTTAAGTGCTGTTCTTTTAAGTCGTTCAGAATTGTTAAGTCACTCGAAGCCCATGTACAGTTTACAAATGTTCATTTCCCTCAGACACTGGTAGACTTCACTCAGTTGCTGCCGTATTTAACTCGCCCACTGCAGATTTGTGTCACTTACTGCTGTTTTTCACTCTTAACGTTATTCACTCAGCTACTGGTATATCTAACCGAAGGCAATTCATACAGTCCTAACTCAGTTACTGGTGTATTTCTCTCAGTCACTGGTGTATTTCACTTGGTTTTGGTACGCTTCACTAAGTCACTGGTATATTCCACTGTAGGTAGCTTTAAACACTGCTTGTCTAGCTAGTTAGGAAACTAATGACACTATTGCTGTATTGTATGATATTAACCTCCACAACAATTCATATTAGATTATGCATGGCTTTACAAATAAAGTTTACAGTGAACAGGCAGTCAATCTAAGGCCTTTAAGAAAAACACATAAATACATGCTAATCGTCTCAGAGAGCAAGCATATATCGGTCCACCGGCTTGATAAGATCAGCACCCCACTGACTGCATGCCACTGCTGGTTCACTCTCAGACCACACAGATTACTGTCCCATGTATAAAGTCGAGCTAGTTTTTAATCTCATCAAACAGATTTTAAAGGCATGTAGTCTACTAATTTGGAACCTAAACTATGACAAATATTACAAACTACAGAGGGGACAAAAAAAACACTAGACCTATTATGAAATGATTTTATTGAAAATGTTGTTGCTGTTGCTGACACTGTACTGGACAACCAGCTTTACTTATGATATTGCTGTTAAAATTATTTATTTAACTAATTTATAAAGAATAACTAAAGAAAACGAAGGAAAAAAAGTAAATTAGACTGTGAGCAGAAAAAAAGCAATTAAAAGTGGCATTTTGTTCAATACTCTGCTTAACCATCAGCGGTCTATCTGGAAAACACTGTGCAAAAAGCCAGTGGGTCGCCAATGTTGCCATTAGCAGGCCAACAGCAACCCACTATCGTCTTGCTATCTGGTGTCTGACAGCTCAGCTACTGTTGCTAGCCCAGTCACAGCATAACTAACATCACCTGCTTTCTAGCTGGAAAACAATGCGTTTTGAGAAGTAAAGAAGAAAGAAGTTTGTTGATTGGTAGTGGTGTCATAGCCTGAACTGCATAGCTCACCACAAAGCTGTGGCTTGTGTGTGTTTCTTTTTTGCCAGCTTCTCATTCCAATTTTCTGTTCCATCTTAAATGGTGCACCAGTTAAATTCTGGTGCCTATGAGGCATTTGTGAATGGTTAGTTAGCTGATTCCAAGTGTAATAAATCCACTAAATTATACTGAAGGTTTTATTCCATTAATTCTATACGATTAGAGTATAAATGAGCTTAAGCTTGATTTTAATCTGCATTCTCACTATGGTGCTTTGTATGTGCTGGTTACCTAGAGCTGTGTTTGCTTTCATCGATTTTGTCCTGATCTTTGATATTATAGTCATGTAGATCCATGTAGATCTCGAGTTGATGAGCTTTAGATCAGATAAAAGCTGAGCTTGAGCTTGAGATCAGATAAAATCAAGGAAAACAGGGAGGAAAAGAGCCATTCATTCAACTATACTCAAACCAGCCTAGACAGACTAAGCCCCATTTCCCCAAAACTGCCTCTTGCCATTTTGTTATAGAGTAGCTATGCAAGGTAGTGGGTGTTAAACTGCTAAATGGCTATGGTTGTAGGACTGCTAAATGGCTATGGTTCAGTAATAATGAGAAACAGGCATTAAATTCAGTCCTTTCCAAGAATCACGGCAAAACTGAATGTAAAAAAAGAATATGTTCTTTGTACGTCTGTTACAAGCTTCACATGTCATTTTAAGCTAAAAATGGCATCAAATGACAAGTGACTGTGGCTTTCTTCATCTCTATGTGTGGTAGAAGGTTGTAGATCACTATACAATTCTTGAATAATTAAGTGCAAATATCACTCTGGCTAAAAAACATGACCGAAAAACGGACTCAGCCTTAAGCTGATTCGGCCATAAAGAAATCGACATCAGAACAGGTCCTAAAAATTAATGTTTGTGCACCGCACAATCGTGTGAACTTTTCCAAGTTCCAAATCCCCTACCTAATACCACACTCTGTAGCTGAATGCCACTCAGCTTGACTTTATCAAGCTGGAGACAAAGGCAAGCTCTGGCCAAAATCCTGCTGGTGGCTATAAAGTGCCAGGCCCTTTTATGTGCAGGCCTGGGATGTGTTGAATTGCTCTTTATTGAGACACTCCCTTGTGGAGACTTAGGCACAAATGCTCAGCTATAGAGTTACAAGCCAAGCAGCTTTCCCTTCAAACTCCTCACTCCGTAGGTCAGCCAAGAACCGAGCCATCAGTCTCTGT